TTTCCCTTGGCAAATGAGGAATTTGCCATTGTGTATCCATTGTTTCCTTCCTTGTTGGTGACCTGTCTCCTCCACTAGAATGTAAGCTCTGTGAGGCCAGGGACCATGCCTCATTTTCCCTCCACTCTGTACCAAGCACCAAGCACAGTGCCTGGCTCATAATTGGTGTTCAATAAATATTTGTTGAATAAGTGAACTGAGGAGGTGAGAAATCTAGACTCATGCTGTGGATGGTACAGGCCCCTCCAGGGGTGAGTCCGCGCTGGCTGACTTAGTAGGGGGAAGGCCTGCAAGCAAAGTGAGAGCCAGGACCAAGGGACTGCAAGTTCTGGCAGGTGGCAGGAAAGCCCTGGCCAAGGGAAAGTGCAAGTGTGTTCACACTGGAGTGCACTCTAACAGCTGAGAACGGGCAGGCTTCCCCTGCCAGCAGGTATTGTTCTCCACTCTTGGCTTGGCTCTCTGATGGATTCGGCTCCCAATAAATCCAGCAAACACTCAGAGGTCTGTTTCATGCCAGCCAGACATGATGGAGCAAGAGGTGACAAGGACACTGTCACTTGGAGGGGCACGCATACCCTCTGTCTAAATGATGGTTTGGTGAGATGACAGTGGAGATGTCTATTGAGAAGGCTGAGGGCACAGAATGGGGGATGTGCCTCTGCCTAAGGTGGTCATGGGGGAGGAAGCCCTCCCAGAGGAGGACAAAAGGAGGCAGTCTAACAGCAGAGTGACCCACAAGTGCAAAGACCTGGAGAGCTCACCAAAGTGAGCTGTGAAAGTTGGCTCTGAGTTGAGCACAGGCCCTCGTGACATGGTGAGAGGCAGGCTAGCCTGGACACTGAAGCCAGACTTCCTTATTAGGCCCTTATTAATGAGTTGTGGCCTTGGGTAAGTTACTTAATCTCCCCGAACCTCAACTTTCTCATCTATAAAATAGGGATGATGAGTAATGGCTACTGCTAATTGAGCAGTAACTATGTAGCAGACACTGTGCCCAGTGCTTTTCTTGGAGTGTTCCCACTTTACAGATGAGGAAACTAAGCCAAGACACCATCTCCTAAGGTTAGGTGAGAATTGAATGAGAAAGGCCAGCCAGTGAGCTGAGCTGGTTAGAGTGCAATGTTATAACACCAAGGACAATTAAAAAAAAAAAAAAGAACTGAATGAGCTAACACAGGTAACACTGTCAGCATAGTGCCTGGGTTATATAAAATGCAAAATCAGTCTTGGCCATTAGTGTCATTAATGCAAGGAGGTTGGATCCAAATTGTGAAAGACCTCAAATGTCAGGCAGAGTCTGGGCTTCATCCTGTAGGCAGTGGGAGTCACAGAAGGTTTTGACATGTGAATGCCAAGGTTGGACCTTGTTTAAGAAACTCATGCTTGGAGGCTGGCTGGTTAGCTCAGTTGGTTAGAGCACGATGTTATAATACCAAGGTCAAGGGTTCTGATTCCCATACTGGCCACCAGAAAAAAAAAAAAGAAACTCACACTTGGGGTGGTGTGGGGTGACTGGGTAAGAGAAGTATTCAGTATTCAGACTCAACTCCACTTATTCACTGGAAACACCTAGATGCTTTTAAAAAATATCAGTACCCAAGCCCCAGAGTTTATGATTTAACCTGTGTGTGGTGGGGCCCAGCATCTCATCAGGAGGTGTGAAGAAAAGAATCAGGATTTCTTTCCTAATAGAGGTAGATGTCCATTCAGTAGGTGAACAGACTCAGCTTGTGAGCCTGAAAAGGGCTGAGGCTTTCTCTTTTTTTGGTGGCTGGCTGGTAAGGGGCTCCAAACCCTTGACCTTGGTGTTAATAGCACCATGCTCTAATCAACTGAGCTAACTGGCCAGCATGGGCTGATGCTTTCTGAGGTGCAAAGCAGAAATTAATTTCTACAAGGGCATCTCTGTTCCCTGGCCCTTCTCCTACTCCCTGCCCCATAGTAGATGATTGAGGAACATTACGTGTGTTGAAGACATTGGTAACTTATAATTTATTTAGGAGATACTGAATATTTATGGCTTTGTGGAAAATTCAAGACATTAGCTTCCTTCCCAGGGAGTAGGAAAAATCAGGTCTGGATATTAGCTGATCCCATTAATAACAGCAAACATTTTTGAGCCCTTGATTTACATTATCTTATATAATGCTCATACAGCCCTGTGAGTAGGTATTATTGTTATCCCCATTTTACAGAAGAGGAAATTGAAACGCAATTTGTTAGTAAAAGTGCCCAAAGTTCACAACACTAATAAATGTTTTAGCCAAAATGAAAACCTAGGCCTGTCGATTCAGTCTTAACCAATACAGTAGTACACTGTTTCTGTCCCAGGCTTCTGCTTGGAATATCATCCCCATGATGTCCAGTGGCAGGCCACATAGGCCTGGTGTGCTGGGCTGCTCTGCTAGCCTGGGAAGCCTTTATCTCTGCCACACCCTTCTCCCCTGTGCTTAGTAAGGGTGAGGCTTGGCTGCTGTAACAAAGAGGCCCAGCCATAATTTAGTGGATGAAAGAAGATAAGAGTTTGTCTCTCACATAACTGCCTGTTGAACATTCCAGGTCAGCGGGAAGCTCTGCTCAGTGTAGACCTTCTGGGTCCCGGATTCTTTCTCTTAGGGTATCTCTTAGGGTATGAATGTGCCTTCAGGGTTGAAGCTAGGTCTCTGACGGTTCAAGCCAGCAGGAAGAGGAAGAGACTGGTGGAGGA